TGAATTCCACACACTGGGAGGATTCATGGAATCCTGGGATGGTTTGGGTTGGAAGGGACCTCACCCATCCCCCTGTTCCACCCCCTGCCAAGGGTAGGGACACCTCCCACTATCCCAACTTGCTCCAGCCTGGCCTTGGACACTTCCAGGGATCCAGGGGCAGCCACAGCTTCTCTGGGAATTCCATCCCAGCCCCTCATCACCCTCACAGGGAAGATTCTCTTCCCAATATCTCATTTAAACCTCCCCTCTTTCAATTTAAAGCCATTCCCTTGTTTCCTCCAGGCCAGTTTTTATGAGTATTAGACCCCAGTGTCCAAGGCCAGTTTATGTCCCAACTGAGCCCTTCCAGAGCCTCATTTCTGTGGGTTTTTATGGAAGCATTTGGAATTATGTGCTTGCCAAGAAGGATTTGGTGGCTCTGGGGGCTCTTTGGGGCCTTTCTGAGGCTGTGACAGTGGCCAGAGAACAAACCAGGGGCTCTGTTAAACACAGACCCCTCCAGCCCCCACATCCCACCCCCCAAGTCCCAACAAACCACTCCCCTTTGCTTTAAATCCCACCTGAGCCCTCCTGGCCTCCCCTTGGACTGGCAGGTGGGGGGATTTGAAGGGAAAAAAAAAATCAAAATAGAGTCTAACCCAACCCAAATGCTGCAGCTTAGAACCCTCCAGTCCTTCTTGCCCAAAGCTGCCTCAACCTCCAGCTGAGGAACCTGTCCCAGTTCCTCATCCCCTGAGCACAGGTTTAACTCCAGCTTGTCCTGCTGTCCCCTCTGGCTGACAGCACCAGGAACTCCCTCCAGCAGCTGGTGCCTGGCATTCCCTGCTGGATTTGCTGCTGGAGAAGGGGCCAGGCTGTTTGCCATGCAGGCTTTGCCTCCGTGTCGTCACTGCTGACAAGTTCTCTGCCTGCCAGGGCAAAGCTGCTCACCATTAAAATACAGGACGTGACTTGCCCTTTTTTTTCCCTTTTCTGAGGTGAATTATCCTGCTTGCTCGTGTTTTCCTGCTGCCACTCACAGCCCTCACAGAAGGGGAGCTCTGATCCATGCAGGGACCCAGCAAAGCCACCTTGCCCCCTGGCAGGGGGGATTTATTCCATCAAATACTCATTTCCATGTCAACACGAGTCCACACGAGTCCCTGCTTCAACCCTGAGCTGCTCAGGGCATCTTGGCCAGATTTGGAAGGTTTTGATGGGCAAGATTAATATTTTCTGATATTTTCCCTGGAGATTTGAGGGCCTGTGATGTGGAGGGAAGTGTGAAGCAGTGAGTGTTTGGACTAGAGAGTTTTTGGACTAGAGAGTCTGAGGAATTCATTTTTGCCTTCACACAAACATGTTTTAGCTACACTTTGTAACTACAAACACCCTGCAGCCCCCAAAAATGCAATTCCTGTGGTGGGCTCTGTTCCATTACCTGTCCTGTCTTCAGTGTTAGGTTTTCCCTTTGAATTCCCACAAAGAGTCTCCTGCAGAGATCAAGGATTTTGCATCTCCCAGCATTATTTCTGCAGCAATCACACACCCTGAGAGCCCAGGACACTCCAGCCAGGGCAGAGCTTCCTGTCTGGACAAGGAGAAAAGCTGCAGGTGCACAAACAACCCTGGAAAAACAGCCCCAGGAATGAATTAGCCTGGATTTATCCCCCCTCAGTGACCTCAGTGGTGGAGGACAGGAGATAACCAGATCACTTCTCGGCATCCAGACACAGAGCAGTGCTTGAGATAAACATCACAACACGATGTTTCCTGCCTGCTTCAATAAAATTAATTAATTCCTTGCCCAGGAAGCAGCCCTGTCTCAGGGCTCATCCCTTGGACTGCTGACTGAAGAGTTTCTGCAGCTCCACATGTCATTAACCTGAGTATATAAAGCCTTTTCCTGGGGGAAGGAGCATTTGTTTGCTGAGCAGCAGCTGAAAGAGCCAGAAAAGATCAATTTTCCACTTCAAGATTTAGAAATGAATTAAAGAAATCCTTCCTGAAGGCCATGTCAAATAAAGACATCAACTGCAAGGCAGCTGAGGCGAGTCATGAACCAAAAATAGTCACTTTAGGCCTCGGTATTATCTCAGTTCAAGTGTTACTACAGGTGCCAAATGTGACACACACTCCCCTGAGGGGGGAAAAAAATCCAGGCTGCAGCTCCACTGCCTGCCCTGAGCAATCCTGCAGCGTCTGCTTTGTGTATAATACATGTTTTATTGGCTAATGAAAGTTGTCTGGTGCTTCAAATCTCAAGTGATGCTTGTGTTTGAAACCCTTTTTGTGCCTCGAGCCCATTTCTGCAACCAGGCTGGGGCAGATCAGTGTTCAAACACCCCAACCATCCCCCCCTGACTTCAGGGCAGTTCCTTGGCACAGCCAGGAAGGTCCCAAACGTGGATGGATCATTAATATTAATTTACTACCTTTTTTTTTAGGCTCATTTGACACCCAGGACCAGCATCTGCAGCTGGTTATTTTTCATATAATGAGCCAAGTAAACTCAGAGCAGCCCCTCATCCATCCTGCACATCACTGTGGCCAGGAAAACAAACTGCTGGATGATCCAGAAATGAAAAACATCATTTATCAGCTTACCTCGAGCCTGAATTTTTTATTTTTTTTCCCCCCTATCTACTAATCTTTCCTGACAAGAAGCTTTTGATCATCTGCTTTGAAACGGGAAGGCTCAGTTTGCAGTGAAACTCTTCTGGAGGGGCAACACTCCCAAAAACTTGTGTTTGGGATAAAGGGAGGGCTGGTTTGTGAAACCCTCTCAGCTCCTGTGACCACATTTGGGGCTTTTCACTTTGAACTTAAAGGTTGAGATCAATGAGAGTCCTCCTGAAAGCTCCAAATAAAGCAAGTGGCTCCCAAGCAAGTAAGGGTGGGATGTTTGGGAGAGGGTCTGCTCCCAGACAATGCTTTTTTGGCTTCCAGAACCAAAATCTCTCACCTTTCTGCCCCTAAAAAGAACTTGAAGTGCTAAACATGCTCCTGAAGATGATTTAAGTGAAGAAATGGAATGAATTCCTGCTGGTCTGTGTGTGCCAAGCATCTGTTTGGGGCTCATTTGTTCTGAGATCACTGCCCACTGCAGGCAGGACCCGTTTGAGATGACCCTGAACCCCCCCCTTATCTCCCACAGCTCCTCTTTAATATCTCCCCAGGATATTGAGCAGGAAGCTGGGCCAATTGCTTCTGGAATAAGTCACTGCAAGAGGATGCAGAGCAGGTAAAAAGAAAGCATTTGGGTAAATCCAAGCAGTTTTATTCAACCCTGAGGGGAGCAGGAGGGGCTGAGGGTTTGAGGCACCTTCACAGAGGTACCAGCATTGATAGTGCTCTGCCAGGGCAATATCAAGCTTGGATTCACTCTCAAATCCACTGACTTTATACTTAGACTTTGCTTTATTACCCAGCACTTGCTGAAGCCTGAATTAAAGCCAACCCCCTCATCAACCCCCACTGTGCAGCCAGGGAAGTTCCCCTCCCTCAGCCAGAAGGGCAGCAGCTCATTAAAAGATGATAGAAAGGTCTTCTGGCTTCACCTTTCATGGAGGAGGGAAGTGGCTTCAGTTCTCTCAGCTTCCCTTGGAGTCGCTGGCTCCTGCCTGGGAAGAGTTTGATTGATTATTTCATCTCCCTCCCACCAACTTTTCATTTCCTAATGTTTGATTTCTGCCCTGGTGGAGAGAGAAAAAGCCAGGTTAAAACAGACAGCAAGTGCTTCTCCAGTAACCTCTGAGAAAAACCTTAATTAACACTTGGAAATCCCTCACATCTCCCAGCATCACTGTCCTGGTGGCCAGGCTGCTGCTCTCAGCTGCCTCAAAGCCAGGCTGCAAGGGGAGTGTTCCAGCTGAAACCAGGATTAAAGTGCCTGGTAATAAAGATCCCGATGTCCCCTGTGCCCAGGCTGGCACTGCCAGCAGGGTTTTTAGGGAGAAGAGACACAAACAGGAGTGGAAAGCGAAATAAAGGCAAGAGTCTCTTGGTGCTGCTGTGAAATCAGGAGTGGTTTTGATCTATTTTTGGCCTTTGAGAAGCCCATAAGCCCAGGTTTGGAAGGATTAGTTATTCCTATGAGTCCACAGAGCCACAGCCTCTGTTGTGCTGCCCCAGGAATCCCAGGGGACCATCAGCCTCTCCCTCCTGGAGCAGGGGCTGCTCTTTGTCCCCAGGATTCCCCCTCTGGGACAACCCACAAGGCTGGGAAGTCACCAAGCTTAACGTTGTACCTGGACCCCAAAATTCACACTGTGAAAATTAGGATTACCCAGAGACACCCAAAACCCCCCCAGGCCCAGAGGAATCTCCATCCCCTCTTCGGAACGAGCTGCCTCCCAAATTGCCCAGCACTGCCTAAAATCCAGGCTGATTTGAGGTGCTGCAGCTGTTCCCAGGCAAGGAACAATAAAAATCACCTTAGAAGAGCTCGACCACACTTACATCCCAAAAAAAACCCAACCCAGATCTTCCAGGAGCACAGGAAGAAATGAGCTGCTGGCCAGGCAGGGGGATTAAATGCCCCTGGAGGAAGGTGAGGCTGGAATTAATGCACTGGTAAAGTAGGATGGGGTCAGAATTGCCCTGTCTTGGCACTGGGTTAAACCTCCAGCTGCCAAAAATCCCTGTGGTTTGGTTGCAAATAGGAATTGCAGGGAATATATTAGGAAAAATAAACCATAAGGAATATCAAGCTCTTTCTATGGACACGGTTAAATCGCTTTTGAACGCCAGTGTCCTTCAAATATCTGCGAGGCAAAAGTTAAATTTTAATCCTGGAGCAGTTAAAAAAAGTTAAATTTTAATCCTGGAGTAGTTTTTTCCAAGGTCAGGAGCCCATGGATGCTCTGAGCCTCCTCAGCTCTGAGCTTTGTTCTCTTCTCCATCTCTAATCACCTTTTTTTAAGCTCCCTCAGAACATATCGGGTTTTAAACCACCTCAAACAAGGGAGGGGATAAAAAAGCCACGCTGAGGAAGTGACATTCACACAAATAAACAATCAGGGGAGACTGAAACTCTTTTATTTCTTTTAGATTAGTTTAGAAAACAAAATCAACTCAGTGTGGTCACAGCAATCCGGGCTTGGTGAATCTCCTTTCATTCCAAGGGGGTCGTAAAGTGTGTCCCACTTCCCTTTATTATCCTGCTTCCTCGTGGATTTAAACTCGGGTACAACAAACAAATCCACTCAGAACTGGATGCTGAGCCTTGGCAGATCAGTTTGATGTTAAAATGCAGGATTTTGGCTCCCTGCACAGAGAGCAGGGCAGACAGAGGAGGGGTGAGCGTGCCTTGAGCCTGATTTGCATTTCCACAGCCCTGCAATGAAACGTTTCCAGAGCTGCATTTTCCAGGGGATGAATAGAGTTGTACAGAGTTCACTCCCTGTGGGATAAATATTCAAGGTTTCTTGATGGAATTAGGGAGAACCTGAGCCTTTAAAGACACTGAAATTCAGCTGAAAGTCACCTGGAATAATGAACTAAGTGCAAGGAACACTCCAGGCTTTCTGGCACGATCATGGGGTGGCTGCTCTGGCTTTATCCTGACCCAAAGTGCATTAAAAGCCCACTTAGGACAAGATTTGGGCTTTTTGTCTCAAACAGCCCCAGTGCATCTGCACACACAGCCCCCAGCTCTCCCCTGCTTTTCATGTCCTGCTCACTTCTCCTTTATCATCCCCAGAAAAAGGTTCTGAGTCCCCTTGCCAGTGGCAGTTTTTCCACGGCCCCAAATTGCCAGGGCTGAGTGCCTTCCTTAAAAAGCCCCTGGGCTCCCATTCCAGCTTTCCAGCCGGATTTGTGTGGGTTGAAATCAGGCTCCTCAGGTGATTCCAATTCCTCGTCTTCCTCCATCTGTGACTTGCAGATTTGTCCCTCATAAAGGTGCCAGTGGGGCATGAGGGGTATTAATAGAAGCAAATGATTGTACAAGCTTCCAGAAAGTGCCATAAATCAAACCCTTCAGAGCTGAACGTTCACAGCAGTTCGGGGGGAAGTCACAGCTGGGAGAAGGAGCAATTTTCCCCCGTGGATTTGCTCCGGGAGGATGAAATGACACCTCCAGGGCAGAGTCTCTCAGGAGGGAGCACGACTGAGGTTTGCTGGCTCTTACATTTTAGTCAGGCTCCTGTTTGGTGGCTCCTTCTCTTGGATGGTAAAACCCCCAAATTACTGCAGGAAAAGGGCGGTTGAAGGCCCTGGATGTGATCTGATCCAGGGAGTGAAGTGACAGCACAGGTCAGCACAGGGGTCACCCTCACCTGGCACGGAGGTGATTGGGCAAGAAACAACAGCTGGAATTTTGGGCTCCTGAGCAGAGACGAGGCTTTGGTGTCAAACCCTCGATGCTTCCCCTTCCAGCTCGAGTTTTAAAATGCTCTGTGTGTAACAAAACCCTTCGTGTTTAATTTGCCTCCCGAACTCACCCCGGCAGGCAGGTCAGGAGCTGGGAGATGAATTGCTGGAACGTCCGTGGAGTTTTTACCTTCACCTTCCTGGCATGAAGACAAGAAACGCTTCCCTTTCCAAATGTCTTTATTTTACCCCAGCTGGAATCCACTGGATGAAAAAAAAAAAAAGGCTCCTTTCTCTTGGAATCTTTAAACACAAAGCTGGGGACGAAGAAATTTTGTACATTTTCCTCTTCTTCTGGAAAAAAAAACAGGCGCAGGTTCCAAAGTACAGATCTTATTTTGCATTTCAGGGATGAACTCCCTGCACTTACTCACAGCAGTCCCTGTGCTTTCAACAGGCAGAGCCCAAAATTAGGCTGTATATTTTGCAAACACATTTATATTTTTTTTCCATGCTTTATACGCTCCCCATGCTGACAACAGAAACCAAGTTGAATTAATATTTATGACAAAATCCCTTGCTGGTGTCAGAAGTACCTGGACCAAGCAGGGAGTTTCTTGACAAAAAGAGGGTGATTTTTTTTTTTGTATTATCCTCTGCAAATATGTGACCTAAATAATATAAAGTGTATTAAAGTGTTTGCAGCACCTCGTGCACCGATAGAAATATCAGGTTCCTGTGAGCACCTGCCTGCATTTCATACAATAAAAAGGGATATTAAAATTTAATACTAAATAAAAATTCAGATGGGTATGGGGCCTCACGTGGAAAGCTGACAGGTAATTTAACCTGTGTGAGAACTGCAACTGGTATTTGCAAATAAGCTTTTACCTCTATTTTATTTTTTATTGTTTTTTTTTTCCCTTACATTTTTACCAGGCAGGAAAATTTAAACAGGAAAAGTCGTTTAGGGGCGACTGGAATGTTTTATTCCAAGCAGGTTTTGTGCTGATAAAAGAGAAAACGCATTTCGAAATGGAAAATCCGGAATATTTCACCCTGAATGTTTTACTCTCCTTCATTGATTTTTGCCTTTGTGGGCTTTCTGGGAGTCGGAATAACTGGGAAATAAAATATGGAGGTGACACCCGAGAAGAAAACATCCCATAAAAATCCCTTTTTTGGGGGAGGATTTTGGATTTTATTTTTTTTTAAACACGTTTTAAGCAGGAAACGTGAGATTTTGAAAAGTCAGTGGATGGATCCAGCCAGAATAAGCGGGTCTGGACTCGGTGCCGCATCCAGGGCAGGGCCGGGAGAGGCAGGAAAACCTTCCCCAGGAAAATTCCCTTGGGTCCAGGAGCGGGGGGGGAAGAGGCTGAAGCGCCCGATCGATATTCTTGGTCAGAGCCGGGGTATTTAATTACGGGGGGGGGATGAGCTTGTTTGGAAGGCGATTTTTCGAGGCAGGCTGTCAAAAAGCTTTCCCTATAAACATCCCGCTGTCCGGGGAGTCCCGGGAGGGGGTCCCTGCGCTCCCACCGGCCAATTTGTGGGAGCGGGAGCCTGGAAAAGCATCTCTGCAGCCCCAGAGCCACCCTGACCCCCCCCTCCGCTCCATTCCCCCCCATCCTGCGGGGAAGGAGCTGCTTCTCCAGCCTCTGGTGATCCATCTCCCCTCGGGAATGTGGCCCCCGGCGCGGGGGGGTTGCCTGGAAGGCCATCAGGAGCCACTTTGGCTAATTGGAATCCGGGCTTAAAAGCATCCAGGGTGCAAAGCAGCAGCCGCCTAATGCAGGGCCAGGGGTTAATGCACGATTACAGGGGAGCATTTAATCTTCCAGAAAGGGAAAGGGGCCCTTATTTATTTATTTACCTCTTGATTTGCCAGGGTTCGTCCCTTTAAAAGGGGAAAAAATGCTGCTCCACCACCAAATCACGGCAGATTTAAAAGGACGCCCTCCCCTCTCTGCCCGGCTCCTGCACTCCCTGATGCTTCTGCTCCTCCCGCCGTGTCCTTGGGGGCATTCCCGTGTTTCCATGGCAGGGAACGCCGGCACAGCCCCAGCCCCGAGCTCGGGGGGTCCCTGTGCAGCCCCAGGCTCTGTCTCTGGGTACCACCCCCCAAAAAAAATTAAATGGCGATGGGGCACCAGGCAGCGGCACAGAGGGGATGAGCTGCTCTGACCGGCAAATCCAAGCCCCACTCGCTCAGCACAGCGAAGAAAACTCCTGCCAACGCCACGTCGGGGCGGGAAGGGGAAGGAGAACGATCCATCGGCTCGGCCGGGAAGGGCCGGCCCGGCTGGAGAGCGGCAGAGCCCTTTAATCCCGGGAATGTTCTCCCGGGCAGGGGGCTCGGCTTTCCTGACAGCCTGCCCGGGAAGGCAGCGGGGAGCTCAGGGAGGTTTGTTCCTGGGAAAGGTCTGATGGATGAGGAACAAGCCTGGCTGCAGCTGGAAGCCTTTTTGGGGACCTGCCACCAGCCCGGGCAGGGAGGGCTGAGCAGCAGCTCGGAAGGAGCAGCTTGGTTGCTGCTCCCCTGGAGGGGTTTGTGGCTGCAGAGCCCGACCCTAAAAGGCTCCCTGGGCCTGGCAGCTCACAGGAATGAGCCCATGTGGGTTTGACCTTCTCCTGACAGCGCTGGGGGGTCACTGGAACTGTGCAGGGTTTGCCAAGCAAAGCTGATTTGCACCAGCCGGGCATCTGCTCCCTCCGGCAAATCTGCCTTCAATGGAGCCGGCAAATGTGTGCTTCCGGGGAATCCGACCCTAGATACACGGAGGATTCCGAGGTGACATCATTCCCTGGTGTCAGGGCACTGCCATGCCCCCTGCATTCATCCCAAAGCCTTACCTGCTGTGCCCATCTGCTGCACACATCAGGATCGATATATCAGTGAGCAGCACGGAGCTCTGCACACAAAACCCTGCAGTCAATCAAGAACTTGGCAGAATGGGGTTTTCCCCCCTCCCCTCGGCTGTCCCAATGCCCAGAGGGTGTTAGCAAGGCCTGGAAGCACTGACCTGTCCCTCCTGCACAGCTACTGTGACAATGGGAGCAGCCCCAGCCCCCTCCCAAAGGGGCACAGAGCGTGGTGTTCCAGCCAGGCTGGGAAGGAGGGACTCAGGAGTCCGAGGTGGGAAGAACAGCTCTGCCAGCCCCTCTGGTTATCAATTCCTTGGGGAAAGATGAGGCCCCAGCAGCACAACCAGGATAAATTTTGCCTGATGAAAAAATCCCACCAAAGTTTGAAGAAAGGAAAAAGAAAAGCCCACATGGAGCTCAGCACCCAGGGGAAGAGGAGGGGCAGATGGTCCAGGCTGCAAAAGGGACACAGAAATGCTCTGTTGCCTTGAATTCAGTCTTGTCCCTGTCACTGGTCACTGATTTGTACCCCTGTGCACTTCCAGGGTTTGTCTGATCCAGGGTTTTTCTGACCCCCCCAGGCCGGGAGCTGGGGGTGACTCAACATCTCTGATTAATGGCAGGGGCAGAGGCTGCTCAGAAAAAGCAATAAAACACCGAGCCAGGAAGGCAGGTTTGGGGCTGACACATGAGGTAATGTTTCAAGTGGAGATAATCTCCAGGAATGACCCTGTGTGGAGGGAACTCATTACAAACAGGAGCAGCATCCAGAGCCTTCCAGGGCATCCAGGGTCCAACACTCCCAATGCATTTCTCCTCCTGGTAACTCCCTGAGGAGGGAGTCACTGTTACCAGCACTGCACAGGCAGAGAATTCGGGTTTATCCCAAAGAAAATGTTGAGCAGAACAGAGACTGGACCCTCAGCCTCCTTAACCAGGGCTCAGTGTCCCAGACTGAGCCACCCACCTTCCAGCAGGGACCTGCAGGGGCCACAGAAGGGGAGAGAGCTGGGAGCCACTGTGCCATCCTTCCCTGCATCCCTCTGACCCTGCACATCCCAAAGGTGAGCCCAAAACACGGGGCTGGTGGGAAGATGCTTTTCCAGAGACAAGGTCTGGTACATCACCTGCATCCCATGGGGAGCAGGGCCACCAGATCCTGTAGGAAATGTAGGTCTAACAAAGCCTGTAGGGTGGGCAGGGCCACCAGATCCTGTAGGATAAGCAGGTCCAACATCATGTAGGGTGGGCAGGACCACCAGATCCTGCAGGAAAAGCAGGTCCAGCAGCCTGTAGGATAGGCAGGACCACCAGATCCTGTAGGATAAGCAGGTCCACCAAAGCCTGTAGGATAGGCAGGACCACCAGATCCTGTAGGATGGGCAGAGCCACCAGATCCTGCAGGAAAAGTAGGTCTAACAAAGCCTGTAGGGTGTGCAGGACCACAGATCCTGTAGGGTGGGCAGGACCACCAGATCTTATAGGATAAGCAGGTCCCGCAGCCTGTAGGTTGTGCAGGGCTACCAGATCCTGTAGGATGAGCAGGGACTGGCACCAAGGCTGAGGGCTGCAGGATGCCATGCAGCATTCCCGGTTCCCTGTTTCCTGGCTGGTGGAACAGAGACAAAGCAGAGCTGCCTCCAGGCAAAGCGGGAGCACTTTGTGGCTCAGAGTCCCCCAGGTCTGATCCTCATCTCCATTTTCCACCTGCCCCTGTGTCTGGCCACTGGAAAGATCCTGCCACAAACCAGGAAAGAATCCAATGGCCACCCTTGGCGCTCGCACAGCTCATCCTGTCCTCCCCCACATCCCGTCTCTGAAGGAATATTACCCGGCTAAAAGCCAGAATTCCCCCTGCAGCCCGTGCTTGCCATTAGTGAGATGTTGATTTACCAATAGATTTCTCATCAGGACCCTCCTCCCTCCCTGGATCGATCACCAGAGGGGCCAGGGAGCACCTGCTCTCCTCATCTCCACCCCTGTGGCCCCGGAGCCTTTGTTAGGATGGCTGGAGGGGCTGTGGGGAGGGTTGTGGGGAGCCAGGCAGGCGCTGGGCTGAGCACAGCCAGCAATAAAAAGCCCTTTAACAGCACAGCTGCCACCCCATCCCCCTGGCTGGTGCCTGTGGAGCTGTGAGGCTGCTCCTGAGGGGGGAAATGGGGGGATCAGCTGGGCTCCTTCCCTCTGTGATGCTGCCAGGGGGTCATTCCTGTCACAGGGCACGAGGCTGAGGGCACACGGGGCAGGGTTCCCAAAGGGCAGCCACTGAAACAAAGGAGGCTCCTGCAGTTTGAGGTGAAAGAAGGAGCTGAGGTAGTTTGCTTTATAAAAAAAATAAAGGAAAGCCACAGTTTTGTGGATGGTTTGGCTCTGGAGGTGCAAAAGACAACAGCAGAGGCATCACACCCACACAGAGATGTGCAAGCCACTGATGGGAACAGGCTGCTCACCATCCACTGCACAGTGACTGGGACTTCATTTGTCTC